AGATTGCTTTAATTTTCTTCAGATTTGAAGAAAAATCTCTGAATCTGGCAGCACTGCACTGGGCGCCACTTCCGGGGCTACCAGATCCAATGTCTCTGTGCTCGTCGCCATATTGTTTGTCACTTTCGCCAAAAATGTAACAATAACTTTTTTTCAATACTTATTTGCAAAATCATTTTTAAGTATGAAGAAACTTCTATTCTTCTCTAGTTCACTCTTCTCTACTCATTCCGAGGAATCTCAGCTTGCATATCTCTATTAATTTAGGAGTGAGAATCATTTAGGAGGGAAACCACTTTTTTTCTTTGATCCACTTTGCGATTTTCAATTTCGCAAACTTTCGGGTCAATTGGCGACTTCGTGTGCAGGAAGTCGGTCGAAATTGGTATGTTTGGCTTAGTTGAAAATATTGTCATAATGATCTGAAATTCCAAACATTCTCAAAATCTTTAATTCTACTCACTCAAAATTCTGCTTAATGGGGATTTTTTGCGAAACTAATGGGGAGTTATTTTGAAATTGTTCACTAGTTTACTAATAAAAATGAATTAACCAAAAATGGTGGTAATTGAAAGTTCTGTTGTATGAAAAATGTTTTGAAAATTCTGTCAAGTGAAACCTTGTTTATATAGAACTGTCAAAAACTAATGCAGAGATTATTAGTTCAGCTAAAAGAAAATTCCATCAAATAAGTCGTATTTTTAAAAATGTAACTAATAATTTGTATGGAAATGTTCATGCACCCTATTCTTAAAAAGCTGGAATTATCATTTAACCGAAAATTCAGCTGGTAAAAAGATTTTGGAGCATATTTTGCTACTGGATAATCAGAAATTGTAAAAAACATTGTAATTGGTCGATTTCAAATTTCGTGCTGCAATCTTTTTAACAGTTGATTCTCTAACAATAATAATTTTACATTTTAAAAATTTTATTAAGAAATGAAAATTTTAACTCACGAGTTTTATGGAATATTCATAATACCTTTATTATTATTAATATTTCTTAATTCCTTTAGAAAAGATTTTCTGAATTTACAAGTGATATTTCCTTATATTGTATAGTCAGTCGTTTAAATCTCCAAAAAAGTTGAATTCTTTTAAAATATGTATTTGGACAGAAAAATACCACCTGGTAATAATAAAGTTTACAATCACGAAAATGAAGAGAATTATTTACAGAAATAATTGAAAATAAAGCAAAACAATAGTAGAAAAGAACGATTGAAATACGTAGTGTGTATAAGAGAAGTATGAAACCTTTATGGAGACTTTAACGACTGATCTGTGAAAGAAGACAAGTGAAAGACGCAACGACTATAGTGTACAATAGTTATATTTGAGAAATACTTTTACATTAAAGCAGGAAATAAAATTAAGGATGTACCCGTCTTGCGTCTTCAGGTAGTAAAACTAAGAAGGTTCAAAAGAATGATGTTTAAAGAAAGAAATGATGTTTTAAAAAGCATAAAAGACAGTGTCGCGATGCGCCGGCGCCAATTCGGCAAAACCTGTTGCCATGATTAACATGTGTGAAAAGTTGGCTTTCTTACAAATTAGGGGAACAGGAGACAAAAGACAAAAGACAAAACTCACCATAAACTGTGGGTAGACTGAGTATTAATGTAATAATAATCGCATGGAGGACGTAATCCAATTTTCGCCGAGGCAGCAACATGATGCTGACAATCCTACTCACACACATGCATATATGTATCGATATATGTACAACACATTCACACACACTCACTCATAGGATTAAGCACTCACTAAAAACACTTGCATAGAATCACAAATTCCATCATTTAATCACGTACATTGTTCACATGTCACTTTTATTGTTCCAAGTGTGCAGTGTTTACGTTTGGAACAAGAGTTTTTAAAAGAAAAAGCATTTAAAACTAATTGACAAACGCGAACCACGAGCGCGTCGCAAGCACTTCTAGGGGACCTATTGTTCACTTAACGCTCTGAAAGTAGTCCCCGATTGCGCGCGCATTAACTGGGCACATGCGTATTCCTCCGCTCTCCGCTACAAGCCTCCATGGCAGCCTGGCAGCCGAACCACACCATACTACACCATATCACAATTATTATTCTTATTTTTCCTATTCTTCTTTAGATCAACATTCACACAATAATTTATTGCCTTATTTTCCCTAAATCGTACCGTTCTCACAGTTCAACTTGAAAAACCTTTTACTTTTTAAATCACATTCCTGTGTGATCTTGTTACTTTTTTGAGGATAGTAACAGAATTTATATATTTCTGCACTCTAAGTTTCCACCCTAAGGTGAACGTAAACTTTTGTATTAAAAGAATTACTGAAACCTTACATTGGAACCTCACTGCAAGCTACATGCATGCTACATGTAAATTTCTACAAATTTACAGTGTAACCCGTTTATAAATTGAAAAGTTGACCTGATGGGTAGTTTTCCTGTAAATTACTCTATTTTGACCTAACCCAAGTAGCACGTAACGTTACTGTAATATCACTGTATTGTTACATGTATAGTGTTAGTAGCTCTCCAGTAAAGAAAAATAAAAAACTTTGTCAATTTTACAATTTCGAAATAACACTAAAATATATAATATACACACACCGAAATTTTCAATTAGAAGAAAATAAACAGATAAAGTGCGTGCAATTTTTAGACTTTTATATCTTTCAAAAGATTCGGAACCAAAACGAAAATTTCGGTGTAATTTAGAAGTTGTGAATGTGCCAAATATATTTAATTTTCTTTAACACTTTCAACTCATTATACTTCATAATTATATACTTACAGAAAAAAATTAAGAAAATAAATAAATCCTCCTTGTAATTAATAATTGATAAAAACGTAAAAATTAGGTTATTGGACGGACCTACAAAAACATATTCTATGTATTATTTTTTATATTCTCACTAGTTTAATTATTATTAAAAAAATAATTTACACGCAATCTTCTTTTTTCAGAAATGGAGCACAAAACACAGATGTGTCCGCATATGTGTCACATAAAGCAATTATTTCGTGCGTCACCATCAAACGCTAAGCATAATATGAATATTCAGCTTTAGTGCGAGCATTTGTGATAATCACGTCCATGATTGTAATTTGCTTGCAGTGTGCACGCACGAGTGCCATTCACGCAGGGCGGACATCGTGCGACCCAAGTTTGTTGTCTGTGTTGTGGGTCAAATTGACATTTTTCAAAAATGACAATTTTCGAACAAATGGCAATTCGCAAAAATGACATTTCGGAAAAGTGACAATTCGTAAAAATGACGATTCGCAAAAATGATGTTTCGGTGAAATTACAATTCGCAATAATGACGATTCGTAAAATTGCCAGTTTGCATACATGAAGTTTCAGAAATCTGACATTTCGAAAAAATGAGTGTTAAGGTCATGTTATTCAGTGGTCACGTGTTTCCATAATAAGTATATGGAGCACGTGACCACTGAATAACGCATGACCTTAAAGTAAATAATAATTCACAAAAAATTGCTTTTCGAAAAAATGGTAATTCGATAAAGTGACAATTCGTACAAATATGACACTTCAAAATAATGTCAATCCGTGTAAAAGTGTCGTTTCGTACCAACAACAATTCGTAAAAATAACATTTCGCAAAAGTGACAAATCGTAACGATGTCGCTTCGAACAAATGACAATTCGTTAATCACGCGCCTCTTTTTAACTATGAATGAAATTTTTACTTTAAATTAAACACCAAGTCAATGATTTGTCAATAAGAACTATAATAAATGTATATTTGTAATGTTTTTAAAATTTTTGAAAAACATTTGAAATTTATCAAATCAAACCATTTTTTCAATAGCAATGTTTGTTTGGCGTATAAGAAATACATAAGGATTGTACATAAATCTCAATCTTAAATTTTTTTTAATTCTAAAATTCTGATTATATAATTTAACTTTTTTACTAAAAACCCCGGTTTATTAATTAAAAATATAATTTTAAGAAAATAATAGAAAGTGGAGGAGGAGATTCAAAACCTATTTATTTTTTATCTTAAAAGTGGTCTCTAGAATCCCTCGACCTCCACTCGTGTCACAAAAATCACCGTTGACTACCTTTATCCTCTTGTTGCTTAATATACTATTTAATAATTAAACTAGTGAAAAAATGAAGATAATGGATGAAATATGTTTTCAAAGTACGTCCACCAAATAACCTAATTTTGGTTTTTTTTTTTATTTTTAATTAAAAAAAAAGGATTTATTATTAAATTAAATAAATACTCACCTGATAAGCAGAAGTATTTTTGATGAACATTCAGGTTTTTTTAGCACTTTCTTAATTTTTTTTAAATGTACAAGAAATATTGAGTTTAAAATACGCGATTTCTGAATTATTGCGTACTTTGCAATTTATTATCTCTGTTAAAGAAAAATAAAAAAATTCCAAAACAATAATTAAAAAGTAGTTTATAAAACTATTATCTAAATTTTCAGTAACATCTGTTACTCATATCTTATGCTTACAACTTTTTTTAGAATTTAATAAATCTTAAATTTTAAAAACAATATTTAACAAATTATTATTTAATTTAAAAAAAAGAAACTGAACAAATTTTTTTTTCTAGGTTTCGTTAAAACAGCACAATTCTGAAAATTTTGAGCCCATTGTGCGAGAAGAGTAAAAAAAATTATGCAATCCCATAATCTACCTTTCTCTACTTATTAGAAAAATATCAAGAAAATTAAGACTATAGTTAATTTTTAAATTCGCGAGTTGAACATTTGCAAGGTTGTAGCAAAATTGGATGAATTTTAGTTTTCGACTTGGACAAATGGGGAATTTTGCCCCAAACAGAAATAATATGAAACTTAAAACATTGTTTAAATCTTTTTTTTCTTTAATTGTGATTTATTCAAACCAACAAATGAATAATTAACAAAAATGAAAAATAATAACTAATAATACTATCAATAAATAAATTAATATAGCAACAAAAGAGAAAAATAATGCTAAACTTGAATATATTCATTTCGAAGTGAAAAATTTTATTGTTTTAAATCTTATACAAAAGTATCTAGCGGGTAGATACAGAAACTTGCCATACTCTGATCGTATTATCAGAGTAACCAGCAAAAAGTGTTTGGCCATCTGTAGACCAGGCAAGGGACAAACACTGTGGGGGTTCAGCTTTACTGGTAGCAGTAACGATTTCTGGTTTCAACTCTTCAACCATTTCTTTGCTCTCGAGATCCCAAATTTTAATGTACGGTCCGAAAGCAGCGCACAACCAGTAGCGATTGGGACTGAAGCACAAGGCAGTAATGATGTCGTTGTGGTCCAAAGTGTGCAAGTGTTTTCCGTCATTCAAATCCCACAGCATTGCCTTGCAGTCCTTCGAAAAACGATTTATGTAAACAAACGTAGTTCAAAGTAAACGGTTCTAATTTATAATAGCTGGATATACTTACTTTGCCTCCTGATGCACAGAGAGAACCATCTGGCGAGACTGTTACAGTGTTCAAGTAACCGGAATGGCCATTGTGGTTGATCTTTAGTCTGCAGTTGGTTAAATTCCACACCTGAAATAGAACAGAAGCTTTAAAGACAAATGCAGAGGGAAAGTGATTCTTTAATTTTATTTGGTTTCAAATCAGTCCCATATCCGCAAGCACTCACAGAGTTCATGTTTAGTTATAAGTATACATCATCAAGATAAATCTAGGTACAAGAATGGAACTCGAAAAGAATAGGTGCGTACCTTGACAACACGATCCCATCCAGCAGACACAATAATGGGGTTTGAGTGATTCGGGGAGAATCGCACACAACTGACCCAATCACTGTGACCGTCATCTTGGATAGTGTACTTGCATTCGGCCAAGGTATTCCACAACTTGATGGTCTTGTCTCGCGATCCAGAGACAATTTGACGGTTGTCGACGGAAAAGGCGACGCTCAGAACATCCTACGAAGCAACAAATCAATGTAAAACAAATACTATGTTTCATTTCAAAAGTAATCATTTACATTTTTTAATTTCATTTTCATCGCTAAATTTAAAAATATCTAACAAGAGATCTTCAAAACCCAATGTAAATGATTACTTTTGGAATGATGTTGAATAGAATTTTAATAGAAAAAGGTTGTTGGAATATACTTACAAAAAGGACGAACAAAATCAGATAGATTCTTCTATAATGTTAATAAAAAAAATATTTACAAAAAAAGCTTCAGTTTTGTTGACCTTTTTTCAGGTATAACGTTGTTTATGAAAGCAACGATTCCTTCTAAAAAAATAACTTTAAAATATCATTGAAAAGCTGTAGTAATGCACACCTTGGTATGGTCCTCGAATCTTCTGGTGGTGCGACCTGCAGCCAAATCCCAGAGTCGCAAGGTTTTGTCCCAGGAACCGGACAGAGCGTAGTTGCCATCGGAAGACAATACTACGTCGCTAATGAAGTGTGAGTGACCGTAAAGGCGCTTTTGTGGGATACCATAGTTTGCTTCATCGCGAGTCAACTTCCAGACTATCAATGTCTTATCTGAAACAATTCAAAATATTTTCTTCATCAGATTTCAACGTTTTTAACTCACTATTAATTCAAATTAGTACTATGAGCAAAAATCATCGTAAAAAAATTGCTGCCTTTATTCCCGTGTTACTTACGATATTTTTTATTCCTAATGCACAAAAGTGGCGATTTTTTTACAGGAAAATATGAAAGTTTACGGAAAATGAGTAAAATTTATGAATTAATAATTTCTAAAAATTACAACTATAACCCTTCTTGAATTAAGTTATTTTCTATAATTTCCAACTAAACTTCACCTCCAAATCAATTACTTTAAAAATTTTTAGAAAGTTCTTCGAGAATTAAATTATTTAAATATGAAAATTCAACTTTGTATAATAATTGTAACTGCCCATGCTTTTTCAGTTTATTAAGGTATAATATTTTCAAACCATAAAAATAATCAAATTTTTTAGGAATTTTAATTGTAAATATGACCCTGATTACTCCGAAATTTTAATAAGTGCAAAAAACTAAATTTTTATTTGCTCTACTCGAAAACAGTTAAATCTTAAAAAATGAAGATAACAAAATTCTAAGAATTAAGTAGTTTTTAACCCTTCGTCACACACATGAGAAAAAATTACGACTTTACACACGTTTAGAAGGAATCCCTCACCACATTGTAAAATAAGCAACATTACAACATAATGTAAAATAAGCAACATTACAACATAAACAAAGGAATCAACAAAAATTTAGTTTTAACACAAACTTACAAATATGTAGTAAATTATTCTAAATTATAAAATTAATTTAACTTTAAATTAATTTAATTAATAAAATTAATTTTCGGTCTCAAAAATAAAAATTAATTACACGAATGCACATCTTCGAAGGAATTCCACTTGACATGTAAAAATAATGTAACATTAATAAATAAGCAAAAAAATCATTAAACAATTCATTTTAATTATATTTATAATATAATTTTGTCATTAACCAACAGTGGAACAAAAAATGTTATGAAAACTTGATTTTTTTATTTAACATAACCTCACTTTTTAGAGTTTTTTCTAGCTTTGAAGCTTTATAAATAAATATTAATTATGTTTAAACTAAATGTTTTTTTAGAAATGTGTTGAGGAGTAAATTGTCGAAAGGTATAGAAACTGATTTTATTTTGCAATGAGGAAAACAAAAGTTATGTAAAAAATACTGAAACCGAAGAGGAAATCCCTCCCTAGGTGTGTGACGGAGGGTTAAAAATACTTTAATGTAATTTTTTTGAAAACAATTGAATTTTTTAAAAGTGTTTTTTGTATTATTTAAAAAAACTAATCAATTTTTTGATGAATTGTAATGAAATATTTTGAACATGATTTTTTTCTCCAAAATGTTAAAAATAATTCTAAAATATTATTTTTGGTATGTATTTGAATTTTCGGAAATATATAATTTAAAGTACTGAAAATATTACATTTTAAAAAATTAGAAGCTAATTTTCATTTTTAAATTTACGTTTAGATTTTCCATTAAAATGTTTGATAATTCAATTATTTTGAAAGTTTGCAATTAAAATTCTTCAAAAGTTGATATTAAGACCATTAATTTGCTCTAAAAAAATTACTAGGTACGGAAATAATTTTATGGAAGATTTAAATTATTTTCTTGATACAGTTAAAATATAGTCGAAGTCGCCACGTAAGGTCATGTTATTCAGTTCCAATGATTATTTTTCACATATTATATAAGCTTTAGAAGTAACTACAGCAAAAAATTTTCTGAATCATATTAAAAATAAGAATAAATCGCACTGCAACTATAAAATGAGAACAAATACGAAATGTTTTCTGACTAATTCTAGTATCTGGTAATACACTCTCCATGTTGGCGGCATGGCTAAGATAATAGTATTTGTGGGACAAAAATTTCACATTTATTATAAAAATTTTTAAATATTAATAAAATATTCAATAAATGCATAGATTGAAATAAATGTCAATTTCTCCCATACTTTACTTTCAAGAAAATAACATACGCGAAAAATAAAACCTCAAACTTTAAGCACGTGACAATTTAATTGAAAAGTTGTTAACAGTAATTAGTGCGTGAACATTTAGTGATAACTACATTAAAATATTGAGATGAAAAAAGTTAGAAATCAATTTATAAGCAATCAAAATGTGTAATAAGAAAGTTTAAGATATCCACAAACTCACCACGAGAAGCCGACAAAATCAAGTCCGAATATTTAGGATTGGTAGCAATTTGAGTGACCCATCCATTGTGACCGCGTAAAGTGCCTCTCAATTGAAGAGTTTCAGTCATTTTTGACAATTTTTTTATCAACAGATAATTGATGCAAATGGATTATTTCAAAGTGAAACAACCACTCTCAAGCACGGTCATTCGAGAAAAGAAAGAAGCAGGTCTCAAACACGGACCAACAACATCAAATTCTTAATAGATGCGAAACTCAACAACTAAAAATGTATGTTAGGGTGCATTCACACCTTAGCTCGTAGAAAAAAATTTATCGAAAAATATCGAAATCTCGTTTCATCTAGCTGTAAAGGTGTTTCTACAATAGCTTGCTCATGTATTTGAGTACGTTCACACGACTTTTGGAAAAACCATTCTTGTCTTTCTCTCTTCTATGACAGAGACATAAGTTTGTCTCACTCTGCATTTTCTGTTTTTGGAAAAGTAAGAAAATGTAGAGTGAGACAAACTTATGCCTCTGCCATAGGAGAGAGAAAGACAAGAAGGTTTTTCCAAAAGTCGTGTGAACGTACTCTTTATGTTGTCTGATTTAAACTATAATTATTTGTGAACTCAACCTTAAGATTGATTCCACAATAGCACTTCTTGAACGGGATATAAAAGGCCATGAGTGTGAGAGAGATGGAGCAATATGTTCGCTCTATTTGCACTCATGGCCTAGTTACAAAACGCAACGCAAAACGGTGGTCTAGTAACAATTTAGTGATCTCTCCCTCCATTCTGTTTTTCTACTCTTTCTAACTAACCAGTTAATTAAAGAGAGACAAAGAAAGAAAATAGAGGGAGAGATCGGTCTCTCGCCAGATGAAAATATAGCGATACGCCATCTAGTTGTCGGCCTTGTTGTGATAGCCATTTTTAGTTGCATAGTTGTGCACCTCTGCAGGCTGCCTGCCTGCGCAGGCAGGAGCAACGAGAGTAAGGGAGAAGTTTGAAGTCACTGACTCTCTTACTCTTGTACGTTACCATGCCAACCTGCAGGCAGGCAGGCTGCCTGCAGAGGTGTAACCGCAGCCTTATATTATAATTATTATTATTATATGATATATTTTATGATATAAAATTTAAAGTTTATGAGCGCATTTCTACTGCACTGTAAAAAATTCTGGTGTATTAAAACATACTGAATGTAATTTTACACAGCAATATTATAGGCTGGACGTAGTAAATTTACTAAGTTTCAAAGTAGTTTTACTATTTTTAATAATTTTACTTTATATGACTATGTAATTTAATAGTTTTGTGTAAATTTACTACGTCCGACGTAGGAAAATTTGATCACTATGTCCAGCATGTTGTATTACACTCGTCTGTTTTTTTACTTTATTCTGTGAATTTACAATGGTCATGTAAAGTTACCACGGATACGTAAATTTACGTTGTATTGCATGTAAGATTACATGCCGCGTGTATTTTTCCTTTAGCGCGGAGTTAAATATATTATATGGATGCTTGCACATGCTCAAAATAAAGTGAACTGCCAACACCGACATTTTGCCTTTTTTGTGTTTTTATTATTAGTATATATATTTTAGTGTTTTCAATTAGTATTATTTAACAGATTACGCATTAGTTAAATTACATGCGGCATGTTTTTGAACAGAACGCTATTTGAAGCAACCCATTTTAACATTGAGCATGTAAAATAACATGCAGGTTATGTCAAATGATCAGCCATTTGTAAAATTACACGCTTGACGTAGTGATTTTCTTTTCCTACGTCGGACGTAGTAAATTTACATGAGAATTTTTTACAGTGTGTCGAAGTAAATTTGATAATTATACAAAGAAAAAACATCTTTGTGAAATTAATAAATTCCAGTTTTACAAATAGTGTAATTTGTGTAAGTAGTTTTCAATTATTTTTCGGAGTGTCTATTTGGCCCGTCAGCGGGCCAAATAAGTTACTTTTATTATTTGGCCCGTCACCCCACTTCCATACATTTCAAGACGGGCCAAATAAAAAAAGTAGTTTATTTGGCCCGTCAGATAACAAATTAGCTGTAATTAATAACAATAGATTATTATTATTACTATTTTTACAAATAGATTAATTTAAGGGCATTTGAACCTTGATGACGTCACACATGCTTTGCACAATCTGTAACGTCATCAAGGTTCAAATGCCCTTAATCACAAGGTACTATTTTTTACATGAATTTGACAGCGAGGTATATGTATATTTTAACCTCAAAATAAAGATGCAAATTATAAACATATTTAGTACATAATATTATAAATTATATTTAAAAATAATTTTTAAAAGTAAACAATAAAATTCTTTAAAATATAAATTATAATTCAATGAAATTTGACAAAATTTCCAATTAATTGGAAAGTTAATTTCTTTTTAAAGTTATAATTGCTGTGAAAATTTTAATATTTATAAAAATAATTCAATGTTTGAGAAGGATTTTATTTAAATTTTTTAAAATAACTGAATTTCTGAAAATAATTTTTTTATTTATAAAAATAATTGAACTCTTGCGAAAAATTTATTTATTTATGAAAATAATTGAATTCTCACGTAGAATTTTATCAAACTTTTGTTTATAAATAATATTAAATTCTTTCGTGAAATTGTATTGAAATAGTAGATTTTTAAACTAATTGAGTTTTAGAGAATTTGATTATTTGCTAAAATAATTTATTTTTTTGTGAAAAATTCGTTTAAGTTTTTTAAAAATAATTCAATCGTTTCAAAGAATTTTATTAAAATTTTTAAGAAGAATTTTCTTATTACATTACCTGTCAAATTCATGTAAAAAATAGTACCTGGTGATTAAATTAATCTATTTGTAAAAATAGTAATAATAATAATCTATTGTTATTAATTACAGCTAATTTGTTATCTGACGGGCCAAATAAACTACTTTTTTTATTTGGCCCGTCTTGAAATGTATGGAAGTGGGGTGACGGGCCAAATAATAAAAGTAACTTATTTGGCCCGCTGACGGGCCAAATAGACACTCCGATTATTTTTCCATGAAAGTGCAAACATAACCTCACTTTTTATGTTTATTCTTTTCCGAATCAATTATTTACAAAATATAAATTATGAAATTTGAATTGTAATTTGTAACTGATTTACACTATTCATGCAAATATTTATTCCAGATAGATTATATAATGGTTTGCGACAAATGTGGAAAAAATTAGACAAAATAATAACACCAAATTCGCATGGAAAGCAGCAGTTCCAAACACAACTGAAAACAGTGGATGTAGAATCGGCGAAAACGTATATCGAAATTCGAAATTTGCATTATTGCCAATCTTTTGATTACAAATGGGAAATCTGTATGATGTGCGACAAAAAAATTGATTGACACTAAATGTTAAAGACAATCTTCCACTTAACAATTTGAAATAAAACTATTCAAAATGTATACTTCGCAGGTAAAAAGAAAATTTTTTAAAATTAGAATATTTTCGAATATAAATAAATAAAGCATTGATGAAATTGAAAAAAATTATATTTTAGTTTATAAACTATAAAATTTGATAAAATTGTTAAATGCACACAATCTATTTTTTTCAATAATTTATAGTTAAATTTCTTAAAGTATTAAAATATTAAAATCAAAATAATGTATAATTATTTATTCGGGAAATTAGAACTAATTTATGTAAACTTGAGTGAGTGCTTTTTCAATAATTATATCTGAACTTTTTTTCGATATTTAGCGAGAATTTATTACAAAATTTACCAGTACTTTCTATAATCAGTATATTTAGTCTACTACTCATTTCAGTAGTTGTTTGTTCCAAGTTTAATGCAGTTATTTTTCAATACTTATTCCAATATTTTTTTTTAGCAATATTTATGAAACAGTAGTTATACCGACGTTGATTCAACAAAAAAATTTTCTCTGAAAAGTTCAGGATATAAGTTTTTCTTCTTTAATTTTAATTCAAGTAAACCCTCCAAATGCTAAAATAAAGGATAATGTGGGGAAACAGTAGTTGCTACTTCTTATTTTTTTGTCACGGATTTTCAGAAAATTTCAAGTAAATTAATAATTCATCGCCTTGGTAGCAATCATTTTTTGTAATTATTTATTGTAATGTCACAGGCCATTTAAAAAAAATTCCAAGAGGATCCAAATCGGGGAAAACAGTAGTGATTTTGAATTTTTTCCAAAAATCACGAAATTTCAACTTAATTAATAATTTCTCGCCTTGGTAGCAATTATTTTTTTGTAATTATTTATTTTAACGTCACAAGCTATTTAAAACAAATTGCAAAAGTTTCCAAGTCGGGGAAAGCAGTCAGTTTGATTTATTAAATGAAATTGAGGGATTTTTATAACATCTACGACAGAAAAATTAAAAATCACTGCTTTTCCCATCTTGGAATCACTTGGAATTTTTTTAAATGGCCCGTGATATGTAAACAATTAATTATGAAAGGAAAAAAATTGCTACCGAGGAGAGGAATTATTAATTTACAGTAGAGACTCCATTATCCGGACTAATGGATGCAGGCACTTGTCCGGATAATCAAAAATCCGGATAATCGAGTAAAGTGCGAATTAAACAAGTTTTTTATTCATAATTTTATGTATTTATTTGCATATGTTTTAAAATAAGACTGAAACAAACTAAAACTTTTAAAGTCAACATTAATAAATATTTAGTTAGAAATATTTCAAAATATTTACATAAACATTTTCTTAAAATAATTAAAACACTTTAAAACGCAACATTTCGTGTAAAGAAATTTAAAATAGAAGTCAACGGCTTGAGACCTTATAAACTTTATATTAAAAAAAAAAATTTTAATTTTAAATTTGTCCGGATAATCGAATATCCGGATAATAGGGGTCCGGATAATGGAGTCTCTACTGTACTTGAAATTCTCGTATTTTCGGAAAATTTGTGACAAAAAAATCAAAATCACTGTTTTTCCGACTTGCAACCTTTTGCAATTATTTTTAATGGGCTTCTGATATTAGAATAAATAATTATAAAAAAAATTGTTACTGGGGCAAGAAATTATTAATTTAGTTAAAATTTTGGGATTTTTGGAAAATCCGTGAAAAAAAATAAGAACTAATGTTTTCCCACCTTTTTTAAGGGTACCGTACCCGGTAGGAACCCCACAATGAAAAAAATGCCTAAACGATTTGAGCATCCATTATAGTATTAAGGTTACTTTAACTAGGAATCTTGATTATATTGACAAATTTAGTGCTGTAGTAACCAGGATTCCTAGTTAAAGTAACCAAAATTCTTAGTGGATGACTCTCGTAACTAGGAGTATAGTCAAATCGCCTAGGAATTTTTTTCAGTGCAATAAAGACGGATACGAAAATGAACTTACATAATATGTTAATTAGGTGCGTTTATTTTATACTTTAAAAGCAGCGGGTGGAAAAACAATTTTTCCGTCCGCTGTTGATAGTCTGTTGATAGTTGGGCGGCAGAAACTTACTTTCCGCCCACTATGCATGCACTTAATTATTATTTTCGTTACATTCTAAACAGATTTACAATTCAATTAAAGTGAGAATTTCTCTTATTCACAGAATTAAAACTAGCATTAATTTTAGAAAAATGATTTTATATGTAAAAGAATGTTAACATGGAATCCAAATACTTTTTGTTTTGTTGCAGAAGTTTCTACACAAAGATCTTTATCTTTTTATGATGTCTAGAGGTAAAGAAATTGTAAGAGAGCTTTTACAAGAAAATATTAAAGTTGATGATCAAGATGAGAATGGTAAAACCGTACTACACTATGCAGTTCAATCAGGAAAATTAATAGTTGTTGAGGAAGTTTTAAAGTATCATCCTGATATCAATAATATAGGCAATAGCAGTTCTCTTATAACTGCATTGAAGGGAGATGGAAATGAGAATAGAAAGATTATTCAAGTTCTTCTAGAATATGGTTTTAGTGTCAAACCCATAGATGCAGAAGATCCTCGGCTTTTAGTTTCTGCAGCTAAAAATGGATGTTTTAAGATTGTCCAAGACTTACTGAAGTATGATGTTGATATTAACTACAGTGACCGGATTTGTAACACAGCATTGCATTATATAACTATGAACAACGATTCTGATGATAATAATATAAGAGAAGAAATTGCTTTAATTCTTATAAGTAAGGGCGCCAATGTAAATTCAAAAGGTTCAGAGCACAGAATAGCACTTCATAACGCTTCTGAAAGTGGACTTGCAAAAGTTGTTGAGGTTCTATTGGAACGTAATATAAATGTCAATGCTAAGGATTTTCATTCATACACTGCTTTGCACTTGGCAGCTCAAAGCGGTTGTGAGGAGGTTGTAAAATTATTGCTAGAATTTGGTGCCGAAGTTGATTCTAAAACAAATTATGACTATTATACACCACTTCATCTTTCTGCTAACAAAGGACATACAAAAATTTGTAAAATTCTTTTAATTAAAGGAGCTGATGTGAATGCTAAGCAGAAGAATTCAGAAACCGCATTGCACATTGCAAGTCGAAATGATTATACAGAAATTATAAAATTATTATTAGAATTTGGTGCCGATGTTGATTCTAAAACAAATAATTATGCTAAGACACCACTTCATCTTTGTGCTAAAATGGGAAACAAGGAAATTTGTGAAATTCTTTTGAATAGAGGAGCAGATGTAAACGCAAAGGATAGGGAATCATGCACTGCTTTGTACTTAGCAGTTCAAAACGGTTTTGAAGAGGTTATAAAGTTATTGCTAGCATTTGGTGCAGAAGTTGATTCTAAAAATAATTATGCCAAAGAAACAGCACTTTACCTTTGTTCTAAAATAGGAAACAAAGAAATCTGTAAAATTCTTTTGAATAAAGGAGCTGATGTAAATGGAGTAAATAAGTCTCAAGAAACCGCTTTGCATATTGCAGCTCAAAAGGGACATGAAGTAACTGTTCAACTATTGCTAGAATTTGGTGCCGAGGTTGATTGTACAGATAATGAAGGCTACACACCATTTCATCTTTCTGCTGCCGGAAAAAATAAGAAAATCTGTGAAATGCTTTTGAATAAAGGAGCAAATATAAATGCTAAAAAAAATAATTCAGTGACCGCATTGCACAGTGCATCTGAAAATGCTTCTGAAGAGTTTGTAAGAATGCTGTTAGAATTTGGTGCTGAAGTTGATTCTAAATCTGATGATGGGCGTACACCACTTCATTTTTCTGCTAAAGGAATAAGAAAAGAAAACTGTGAACTACTTTTAAATAAAGGAGCAAATGTGAATGCTAAGCAAAAGGATTCAAAAACCGCTTTCCACATTGCAATTGAGTATCAAAGAGTAAATATAGTAACAGTGTTGCTAAAATTTGGTGCCGAAGTTAATTCTGAAATACCCGGACTAGGAATGACACCACTTTTTTTATCTACTTGTAGAAAAAATAAAGAAATGTGCAAAATTCTCTTGAATAATGGAGCTGATGTAAATGTTATGCAAAGTAGGCGTTCATCATATACAGCATTGCACATTGCTGCAGAAAATGGTTTTAAAGATATTGTGAACATATTGCTAAAGTTTGGAGCCAAAGTTAATTTGAAAACAAACGATGGTGAGAAGACACCTCTTCATGTGGCTGCTAAAGAGGGAAGAAAAGCATTTTGTAGAATTCTTTTAAGTAGAAGAGCTGATGTAAATGCTGAGGATACGAATTCATACACCGCATTGCATTTTGCAACTAAATATGATCATCAAGAGGTTGTAAAATTATTGCTAGATTTTGGCGCCACAGTTAATTCTAAAACTGTTGATGGCGTGACACCACTTCATCTTTCTGCTGAATCAAAAAGTAAAGAAATCTGTCAGATACTTTTGAATAATGGCGCTGATGTAAATGCTAAGGATAAGAATTCATACACCGCATTGCATATTGCAACTAAACATAATGATCAAGAGATTGTAAAAATATTGCTAGATTGGGACGCTAAAGTTAATTCTGAAGCTGACGATGGCGAAACACCTCTTCATCTTTCATCGAAGCTTGAAATTTGTAAAATGCTTTTAAATAAAGGAGCATCAGTGAATGCTAGAAAAAAGAATTCAGAAACCGCATTGAAAATTGCAATTAAAGCACGGAATAATGAAGTCATACGAATATTGCTAAACAACGGTGCCGAATTTGATTATAAATCTGATTGCACCAAACTATTTCATATTTTTGCTGATATTGGAGACGAAGAAATCTGTAAATTGTTTTTAAATAAAGGAGTTGATGTAAATGCTAAGCTAGATAAGTATCAAAGAACCGCCTTGCACATTGTAGTTGAAAAAAAATTTAAAGAGTTGGTTAAAATATTGCTAGAATTTGGTGCCGAAGTTGATTGTACAGATAATGAAGGCTACACACCACTTCATTTTTCTGCTCGAAATAAAAATTTAGAAATCTGTAAAATGCTTTTGAATAAAGGAGCTGACGTAAATGCAATAAATGATAAAAAAGGCACTGCCTTACTCTATGCAGTTCATCGTGATCATGAAGAGATAGTAAAAATATTGCTTGAATTTGGTGCCAAGATTGAGTTTAATCGTGATGTACCTCATATTATGTGGCATGTTATTAAATGTCATTTAATTAAAAGAAAAACAGCAAATTTATTTGTAAGTGAAAAAAATTTATTATTTTTGAGTAAAAAGTACATGGGGTGTGATTGTGAGAAAGAATGTGTGGAAGAAGTATTACGATTGAAGCATGAAAAGATTAATAATACAAACATTTCGTTCTTTGACATATTGAGTAAAGATTACCTATTAGCATTGTACATGAGAAATGAGAATGTAGTGGAGACTCTAAAATCATTGGATTACGAAACAAAGTTTCCAATTTACGGCAACATGATAAAATGTAATTTTATAATGTGTGTGAAAAGAAGAGAGTTACTAGACCAATGTTACGAAATTTTCCCTCTGTTATGTAACAACTTTACCGAGTCACCACAATGCTACACCGAAAAAATACTTAGTTACTTGAGTAATAAGGACTTAAGTATTTTAATTAAGGCTTGTCAGCCTATTGACATAAGTAAACTTAGTTTGAAGGAATTGTAGATAGGCGGATCTGTTTTTTGTAATCTAGAAAATTACTACGCAATTGCTCCTTCGAAGTTGTTTTTTTCTCCATTTATATGAATTTTTTGTTCTCTTTACACTTTTTTCTGAAATTAATGTTAATTAATAAATTTAAAAACATGATATAAAATACATGAAAAACTAAGTCAATTAAAAATTGATAATGAAGTTAATGTAAGTTCTTTATTCCTAAAGAATAGGAAATAATATTTAAGTTTTGTATTTTTATACTTATACATAATCAGAATTAATAGTAAGTTAGCATTGTATTTGAAATAAAAAATTATTGTGTTCAAATTTATTGGGAGACTCGTTACAAATTTCTTTCCTATAAATAATTCTAATCCTTAGTAATCTGCTCTTCTCTTTTTATGTTAAATATAATTATCAACATTTTTTTGTTCTTCTTTCACAATTTCCGACTGACGAATATTCAGTTTTTACTCAATTAGTAAATATATATTACATTTAAGAACTTATGAACTTTTATAAATTATTTAAGTAATGAATAATTTTACTTCAATATTTCAAAATTAATTGAGTTTTAAAAGAGTTGTATATTTACCATTTTCACAAATAGATATGAACTTCAAAAGGTTTTCATTTGAAATTTAAGAAAATTTTAATTTTTAATGAATTTAATTAGAAATTTTAAACAACTTAAATTTTGGAAAAATTTTAATAATTCAAAAATTCTTCAGAAATTACGTAATAATTAAATTATTAAAAATAATGGATTTAAAGAAGAATTTTAGTTAAAAACAAGAAAAAAATCATTTTTGAAGATTACAAATGATTGCAGAAATTTAATTATTCTCAATTCAAAATTTCAATTTTCTTATTTATTAAATAATAAAATTATTAAAAAAATTTTTTTTAAATTCTTGGAAAAATTCCAATCCTATATATATTTTCAAAAATTTTCCTTAATTATTAATTAAATTACATATTTGCAATATTTACTATTTGAATCCAAATTTAAAAAAAAAATTCAATTATTTAAAAAAAATTTTGATAGAATTCTACTCAAATATTTAATTATTTTTACAAATAATAAAAATTCACAGAAATTCAATTATTTATAATTCTTTTTTGCAATAATTTGATTATTTTCATAAATTGTTAAATTTTTTACACGGATTCAATAATTTACAAAATTTTAATAAATTTCTTCCTAATAATTACCATTATTTTTATAAATAATACAATTTTTTACAGAGTTTTAATTATTTTCATATAAATAATAAAATTGTTTTTAGGAATTCAACTATTATTTAAGAAAATTTTATCACTATTTGTCAGAAGAAATCAATTCTTTAAATATTAAAATAGAAAAAATTTTTTTAAGATAAGAAATATTCTGATTTTAAGAAACGCAAAACGGTGCCATGGGACTGCACCTTAACGCAGACTTTTAGATCGTATTGGAGAAAGACCTTAATTCATATACTTCCGGTTTAACGGCGTTTTCAAAAGTCGTGACACATCTATTGTAATGTCTATAGTTCGTGTCGTTTACTTATACTTCGCGAATCAACCCTACCCTGATGTTCTTTCTGATTGTGCGTCTTCTTGGTAAACATCACCATCACCAACCATCACACTGTTGAGTTCATTGCGAAAATTGCGAATCATTCTCCAAATTCTTCATAACACAATCGTTTTAGTTTTAGCGGAATTCTCTTGTTCAGTCTAATTATTCAAATACATTTTAGTGTTTGGAAAATATAAAATATTAACTTTCAACATGAGTAACGTCGCCCTTTTAGAGATTGAAAGTTTTCAGTCGGAAGTTGATTCAAGTTACAAAAAGGTAAAATTTGTTAATCATGTCTAATATATGTAGGTATAATATACACGTTACTTTTTGAATTTTACTGATATTTTAAATACACTGCAGTGAAATAAATAATAATAATAATAATAATAATAATTTTTTAAATAAAACAGTGATATCGACTGTTGAAATATTAAGGAAATAAAAACAATATATTTTTTTTTAATTTAGGACAATTTTTTAAACGACACTAGGCTTTTTTATAATTGTTTTTCTATTTATTTATTTTGAAATATAACAATTTTAATAAAATACGTTTTAATATTATGGTTGCCACAGAGGCTGGAAATCCTGGAAAACTTGGAAAAGATATGGAAAACCTGGAAATAGTATGAAATTAAAAAAAATTTCTGGAATTTTGCCTGTTTTTAAAGATTTTTGAGAAAATTTTGTTTTAGCCAGTGTTTAGGAATAAGAAATAATTTTTTTATTAACAAAAGTTAACAAACAAAACATAAAGTTCGTTAAAAAAATAATTTTTCATCTTCTGCTGATTATCGGCTGTGGTTACTTTTTATGAATTGTGAATTATATTTTTGGCATAAAAACGAATCGATTCATGTATATGAAGTATACATTTTACCAATATTTATATAATTAACAGCTATTTTTATATTGAACAAAAAATAAAAATTTCGAATTTTTAAAAACTTACCTCAACACTGCGAAATAATTTTTTTACCATAAAAAATGAAGCAGTTGGAATATAAAAAGTTTATATTTCAGCAAATGTTCATAAAACAATTTAAATAAGGAAGCTAAATGATCATGGAATGAACAACTTGTTTTTCAGTGTACGAAAGCATACGTAGAGAAAAATTGTTTTGGATAAATTAAATACCACATTATTTCTTTCAGATTCTAGATCTTCGTGAAGCAATGAGTGTTGAAGATAACTTATTAATGAAGTACAATACGCGAAGTTTACAAGTTTCTAAAAGTAACTGGAAATTGGACAAAAAAGAAAGTGATACATTAGAAAGATTAAATTATACGAATAAAACAATGGCTCATGATTCAAAATCGGTAGAAAGTTATAAAGGGGATGTAAAATGTGCAGAGGAAAAAAAGAAGCTAAAAATAGTTAAAAGCAGGTAAGAATCTCGAGTTATTTGGAATGTAAGCTTATTTTAAGAGAATTTACAGTAGCCAAACTTTTAAGTAGTTAATGTAGAATAGTTTAAATCAGAGACTTGTAAAAGTTTTAGTTGTCAGTTTCTGTTTTCGATTTTGGAATAACACAATTTGATGAAATTGTAATCGAACACAGCTTTTGTACCTTAAAGTTATTATTTAATTTAATAAAATTTAATTTATTTTTGCAGAACAGTCATGAAAGAGAAAAATGGAAAGAACAAAAAAAAGTTCTTCAACTTTTATAAATTCTATGTAAGTACAATTATTTTTTAAATCAATTATAATGAATGATAAAATAGTTTCTACAGTTACTATTTAGTTGCAAAATAGAACCTGAAAGCACATTGATACCAAGTTTCATAAAAATGCAATTACTGTCTTATATTTTGTCAGACATATTGGATCCGCCATTTTAAATTTTGAAAGTAAGCAAATTTGTTGCAGAAATTGAATTTATTAGCAGGATAAGAAAGAAGTAAATATTTTTGATGAAAATTAGAAAAAAGTGAGGAAAATAAAAAGTATGGAGTGAAATTTTTGTCAGTTTTGTAAAGTGTCTAAAACGAGTTTTTTCGGTCATCAAGTTTAATTTTTAGATATTTACTTTTTTTACTGTTTTTTCTTTAATTTGAAGGCTACTTTTTCAAAATTAATTATGGACTGCGAAGTCTGATATTTATAAGAAAATTGCGGTTTACAATGTTTGGATATAAATAAATTACATTATTTCAGGATTCAAAGAATATTTCTACAAACATAAGCGAACATCGTACTCTGATTGAAAAGAAAAGTAATGGATTGAATATTACTAAGCAAAAAGAGAATTCTTGTAAGAAAAAGGGAGGAGATATTATTGGGCAAAACGTCTTTAATTATCTTCACAATGTTTTGTAAGTATACATATTTATTCCTTTAAAATATAAATTAAATAATTTTAAATTATGAGAAGCTTGATAATTTTTTGTATATTCTAGATTTTTTGAAGATAATAACACTCTTCAAGAAAATTTACTCACTAAACGAGGAAATCGAGACTCAACAATAAAATTTCGTCAAAACAAAAACATTATTGACGAATTTTCGACTAAAAAACCAGTGGTTGAACTCTAGTGTCTCATCTCAATCTAATTAGATATTTTTTTATAAAAAAAATAGTTTTAATATGTTCCTTTGTAGAACAAGTGATAAATGATTAAAAATGACTGATTAAAAAAATATGTAAAATTATTTTAATATTTGTTTCTTAACTGTTGAAAACAGAAAAATAAATTTATTTTCAAATGTACTTTTAAATGTGTGTTCTTTCTTTTATTGACATGGTTGTCACTCCTGACAGAGAAATGTGGGTTATAGGAAGTTCAACTAGAAACTACTACTGAATCTATATATTTATTTTGTTATAAAAGGAATAGAATAGAAATGGAAAAAATAAAATAAAGCATGTTGTATAAAATACGAAATATATTTACCGTAATAACATAATTTACGAAAGTATACATAACATATTGTGTTCGATAACGCGTGTTTATATTTAGTTCTTCAACAACAAAGTATAGTTTGTACAAAGTATAAAAAAAATTAAACACGATTTTTTATTTACAATATTTGTACTGTGTCTCATTCTAATTTAATTGAAACACATAATTTTTGGAGAATATTCTCCAAACAAACTAAATTATAATTCATGACAATATAATCAGCAGCAGGGAGATATTATCATCACATTGATCATTTCAGAATCATAAGTTACAATGATTTTTTGTGTTGTATCAAAACAATGAAATATTTCTGTTGCCTGCATTGTTCAAGGAAAAGGGCATAATAAAATTAAAAATATACAAGTATAAAAAATAGTAATTGATATTCTTTGAAACGAAGCAGTTTTACTTTATAATTAACAATCGGTAATAACAAAAATAGTTATAATATAAATGTGGTACGCTAAGTATATATATATATATAGAACAATATTTTATACCTTGAAAAACTTAACTAAAATATTTTTTAAACTCCGATTTCATTTCGGATATATTCAGTCTGATACAATAATTTAATCAAATAGGCTTTCTGAAACAATATTCTAAAACTCTTTTCAATTATAAAAAGCACCATAAATCCCTGAATAATTAATAAAAACCGCATGTTAAAACATTCCTAAACAATCATTACTTTCCTTTTAACACGAACTTATTCTTCTTCTTCTTCTTTTTAAAAAAATATTAATTCTTTGAAATAAAATCATTCTCCATGCTTACATGGAGAAACAGAAACACAAAGTCAATTTTGCTACATTTCTTGAATGAAAAGATGTTATTTAACATCAACAATTAACAAAATTGAAGTTCAAGAATATTTGAAAAAAACCATTCAAAACACCTTTGGTACAGTGAATTTCAGAACACTGAAATTATTATAAAATAATAGTCTTCAAATTTGGTAATAATTAAAATAAAAAAAGCCGTATTTAAAAAGCAGTGTTTGAAAAACCTTTACCTTAGAGTGACAAAAATCACTCTTCAAAATATCTATTTACATTATAAAAAATTATCCAAAATCATTAATCGCAAACAAAATTAAAAACGTTTCTATTAATCGAGTACAGTTCAGTCGCATTAATATCAAACATACATTAAGAAGACAATATATAAAAAATGCAATAAAAGTATAATAATAAAAAAAAGTTACAGATTTTCCTTAACTTTTTACAAATAAAATATATTCTTATGTATCTGACAAAATTATAATATAATTCACAGAGAGACATTTAACATTTAAATACATGTTTTTTTTAAAGTCAAAACTAAATGCGGTAATTCCTATTTTTTCCAATAGACTCACTTAATAATTCAAAATTTAAAATTGTATCTCACGCACATTTATTATCCTTTTAATGTAAATGTCCTTCCGTGTATATTAAATTAAAAATTCAGAAATCTCAATCTTCCAGTTTTATTTATACAATTTATTTCATAAATCACTTCAAAAATGTTATAAAGATTTTAAAGTTAATCTTTGGTTTACATTTAGTATATTAACTAAATGCTGAAATATCTATAAGAAGAAAAATTATTCACACAAAAAATGTAATGTGAATGATAAAAGTAGAAAGCCTATTTTCTGAAGTATATTTTTTTACTAAAAATAAAAATAAAGATTAATTTAATTTAAAATTAAAATAGAATTATTATAACAATAAAAATAAATAACATTTACCCCTTTACAGGTAACGTATGTTTATTTTTTCTTCAGGATTCCATTTAAAAGTTTATGTACGGAAGATGTAGATTTCCAAAATGCATTTAAATTTTAATAACAAATATTGGAAATAAAAAAATTTCAGGGATTCTTAAAAAATGCGGTGAAAATAAATTTTTCAAAATATTTTCCTTACGTTACGAGTTATAAAAGTGCTTAATATAGTAATTAATTTTTATAAATATAAATTATTTTATATTGGAAGATTTTTCTGTTTTAATATTTATTGCAGAATGATACACCTTAAAGATATGTCAAAGTCGTAGCAGTATTTTAATTGCAATTATATGTAAAAATAGGAACGACTTTGACATGTCTTTCATTTCATACACGCGCGCACACATACATACAAACATAATACAAAAATTTAATTTTCGACTAGGTTCTGTAAGACAAGAGTGATGACTTAAAAATCAACTTTCACTGTGAGATAATTCTGTGTATTTTGGTTTTATTTTACAATTTATCAGGGTTGCAACGCTTCTTTTGCTCTTTTGAAATTCCCTGAATTTTCCAGGATTTCCAGGTTGAAAAACGGAATTTTTCCAGGTTTTTAAAAACTGATTCTAGATTTTAAAAAAAACTTTTAGCAAATTAAATAACTCTAATAAATTTTTATAAGTAGGAGCTTTCATTTAAAAATACTGTCAATATAATTTTTAAGTGTAATTACATTTTTCGAAGAAATTCGATTAAAATTGTATTAAAAATAATTGAAACTCTACGATGAGTTTTATTTATGAAAATAATTGAATTCCTAAAAACAATTTAATTATTTACGAAAATAATAATTGAATTCCTCAAATGAATTTACTTATTTATAAAGATAATTAAATTCATAACTAGAATTTTATTAACATTTTCAAAAATAATTGAATTCTTTAGAAGAATTTTAATGAACTCTTTAAAAATTGCATTTTTTGAGAAATTTATATAAATTAATATTTTAAATTTTAATTGAAAGTCATTTTTAAATCTACTTTTTTTAGAAAATTCAAGAAGAATTCAATTATTTAAATATAAAAATAAATAATTTATTGAATATAATTTAATATTTCTTAAAATTGAATTTTCATAAAGAATTTTATCAACAAAATTTTTGAGAATAATTACATTTTTCGAATTTGATTAAAATTGTATCAAAAATAATTGAAATCCTGAAAAGAATTTTATTATTTATGTAGATAATTGAATTATTGCCAATTAATTTATAAAAATTTTTGAAAATAATTTAAATTTTGCCAAGAATTTTATTACAATTTTTGAAAATATTTGAATTTTGAGAAAAAAATTATTATTTATAAAGATAATTAAGATTTTAACAAGAATTTGTTTTAATTTTTCAACAAAATTGAATTTTTGTGACGAATTTTATAATTTTTGAAAATAATTGAATTTCTGCAATCATTAGTAACTTTACTCCAAAATTCAATTATTTTAGTGTTTTTAACTAAAATTCACATTTCAATCAATTTTTATTAAAAAATTTTACAAGAATTCAATTTTGTAAATAAAAAAATTAATAATTTATTGAATTCGACTAAAATTGTATTTAAAATAATTGAAATTTTGCGTTCAGTTTTATTACTTTGGTATAAAAATAATTGAATTCCTAAAAACAATTTTATTATTTATCAAAATAATTGAATTATTGCGAAAAAATTTATGAAAAATTTGTAAATAATTGTATTTCATTGAAATTTTTATTATTTACGAAAATAATTTAATTTCGAAATATAATTGAATTTATGCTAAGAAATTTTATTATTTTTGAAAATATTTATATTTCGGAAAAATTTTTAATAATTTATAAAGTTAATTAAAATTTTTACAAGAATTTTTACTATTTTTCAACATAACTGAATTTTTGCTAAGAATTTTAATATTTTTGAAAATAATTCAATTTTGGAAAAGAGTTTATTTTCGAAAATAATTGAATTTCTTCTATAATTTCGTAACTTTTCTCCAAAATTCAATTATTTTAGTATTTTTAACTAAAATTCATATTTAAAACAATTTTTATCCAGAAAATTTTACGAGAATTGAATTCTTTGAATACAAAAATAAATAATTTATTGAATTCAATTAAATTGTATTAAAAATAATTGGAATTTTGCGTTGACAAGTTATTATTTATAAAAATAATTTAATTTCTAAAATGAATTTAATTATTTTTCAAAATAATTCAATCCTAGTAAACAATTTTATTATTTATGAAAATAATTAAATTATTGCGAAGAAATTTATTAAAATTTTGTAAACAATAGAATTTCTGTGAAATTTTTATTATTTATGAAAATAGTTCAATGCGTAGAATTTTATTAGAATAATTGTTGAAAATAATTGAATTTCTTCAATCATTTGTAACTTCTCTAAAATTCAATTTTTAGTGTTTTTAACTAAAATTCTATTAATCCATAATTTTTAATAACTAATTAAATATTAAAAAATCTAACTAATTTCTGAAGAATTTTAATTATTATAATTTTTTCAAAAATCTAAATTCTTTAAAATTTCTAATTAAATTCATTAAAAATTCAAATTTTTAAAAATTTTATATTAGAATTTGTGGTAATTTTCTAGTTTATAAGGCAAACAAAAAAGTCACAAAAATTAAAAATTTTCTAAATGAATTCTAAAAATTAGTTAGATTTCAAGTATAAACACAATAACTTTAGAAAACAACAATTGTGTCAAGCTCCGAAGAAAAGTACCTAAGAAGCAAAAAATCTGTGGTTATGTTTTCAATTTTTTCGAGTAAAAATACAGGAAGAGAATCAATTATTAATTAAAAATTATTGATCTTCTTAAATGACTTGAGGCTTTGCCAACTGTCAGAACAACAAACCTATAATTCGTTTGCTTCTTAGGTACCTTTCTTAGGAGCGCGTCACAATTATCCAGAATTCCGATGAAAATTCCGACTTTTCTAGGATTTATCAAGATTTCTAAAATTCCCTGATATTTCCAGGATATTCTGGTTACCACCTGACATTCCTGATGGTAACCAGGAAAACCTGTAAATGTCCGGAAATTTGCGTGGCAACCCTGAATTTTTATAGATCTCAGTATCTTTCGCTCTACGTTAAACGTAGCTTTCATCGTCATTTACCGATCTGCTGTAACCAAGATTTCTGATTGTCACTGTAGCTCGTGGTTGAGGTGGTGGCCGATAAGGCGGTGGTGGCGGAGGTAATGATCTTGACCTGCCCGCAATTTTATGCCTGTCCTCGAAACTCATGTGAACAGGCGGCAAATGCTTGAGCCTCGGTGGTAACGGTGGCGGCGTATCAGACCAAATGCTCTTCGAGTCATCATTCTCCATGCTGTAATTCACCGCATCACTTTGCTTAAAGGTGTAAATTTCCTTTCGCTCCCTTGCATTGTAAGTGTCACTTAAATTCTCCCGATTACCGTAAATACTATCAGACTTGTCGCAATCATATCGATTAGTTAATGCTTCCTTCTTGACACTTATAAAGTCCCTGTCCTTTCTAAACTCATAGATATCACTGTTTGAATGAAGACTGCTGTTTTGTGAAATTGGTGATTCGCGATTCGGGTAGATTTCGCTTTTCACTTTCTTGTAATCGCTGAAGTCGTAGCGATTCGCAAGCAATGTATCATTCTCGGCGTTGAGAACGAGAACTCTGTCTGTACAGCCGTCGAGCTGTAAATTCCGTTCGTAATCCATCCGAAGGTCTTGGGAGAGATTAACCTGGGAGGATTGATAAAGTTCCTTACGGATATCGATATTGTCCTTCATGTCTTGATACTCTTGAGAGTAAATATCCTTCTCGTCGAAACGTTCCTTGCGCGGATCGTTCTCCTCTAGTTTAGTTCGAGGCGTTCTTTTCAGCTGCGCTCGGAGCCAGTCTTGCCTCTGAAAATTCGGATTCGGATAGCAGGAAACTCCCGTATCAATCGAATTCTGTAAACTAATTCTCTCGTCCCAACCACCGTAAACCCGGATATAACTCTTATTCACAGACTTCTCGTCCTTTAGTGTCTTATCGAAATTCGTTGAACTTGCATTAACGGCAGAATCTTCGGAACCCACTGGCGATTCGGGGATAAATAGTTGGCAATCAGAGAGTGTGAGACCGGAGTCTCGGGACAGAGACATGTGGTCCTTACGTGGGGGTTCGGTGAGATCCAAACTGTCCAAAGATAGTCCACCTGCTGCAACGGCACGAATAAATGTTTCTATCGATCGTTTATAAAGATCAGCATCGCTGAGATTCTTTTTCACAAGAAATATTGGAATCGCATAGAAAGACTTGGCAAACTCACAATGCAAACTGTCGGTGCTTTCTTCGGCCCCACTGTCGTTGCGCTCCTCGCCGAGGAGTTGCGTGACTCCTTCTCCAAAAAGCACCTCGCAATGGCGGATTAGCATCTCGGTGAGTGTTGGTATTGTGCGACTGTGTTTCACTGAGGGATTTACCGACCACAATAAACTCGGACCACAACAAACGCCAAGATTGCTTGCGCACATTAGATTGTGCTTTGACCGACTGGCAATGTGATGCAACACGCAGATTAGGTGTGAGAGCAAATTGTAATTTGGCTTTGGGAGGCGATCCAGTATGCTGAAAGGAAACGGAATTTTATTAGAATATTCAAACTTTTTTCTTTACTTTCTCAATAGTCCGAATCAAAATTCAAGTAAAGACTAATTTTATTTTCTAAAATACAAGTATCTAAAGGTCTTTACTTTAAAATTGTTACAATGTCTTTAAAATAATATTCTTTTTGTAATTTATAATCTACTTGTGATGAATAAGTGAATTTACCTTTTTATCGTTTGTACCGGTTTATTTGATTCGAGACTTTCCATCCATTGCGGAAAGAGATGCGAAGTGAGTATAGGATCTGGCAGTGACCTCAAGAAGTCTTTCAGTAAAGCTGCAATGGCTATAATTGGTGCATTTTCTATGCAACGAGAATCTCCTGTGGACTCAATTTGATCTCTAAGTTCTCTGACAATTCTAATGTTTGCAGATTTTCTAAAAATACCTTGCGTAAATGGCCCCTTTGCAAAGATTTGCTGCAACATAACTAACACTGGCTTGGGCAATCCGTTGTCATCCAATCTCGAGAGACTAACTCCAAATACATTTGAATTAAGAGGTAGTGATCGCCTCAGTAGACCAGTGATTTTTGATTTTTGTTTCTTTATTGGCGACTTCAAGATTGGCTTGAGAATGAAGTGACAAGTGTCGTTGCCGCTTTTATTGCAATGCTCCAAATCAAAACCCTCTTCAGTGGATAGTGTGTGGCGTAAATTAGATAGTTTTATGGCAAAAGGTCTCTCGTGACCTATCAATGGATACGGCGCATCATCTGATGATGTTCTTGCCCACAATTGAAAGTAGCCCTGAAGATCAAGAAGACGTGTAGCCAAATTCACGCATGTTGTTGCTGTCATCTCAGAACTCACCATAATTGTTTTGCTCTGCAATAAGTAAATTACAAGTTATTTAATCATTTTTTTAACAAATCAGACGAAATCTTCAATCGTAATTAAAAATTCTCAATCAGCGAAAAATTCTAACATTAAATCACTAAGTGTTTAAAATTGATTATACATTAGGGTGACGCAAAAAACTTATTGCTACTATAATTGTTAAAATTTAAAACATAAACCCGTATTGACGGTTAATTTGACATCAAATCCATATTTTTTAATTCCCTCACTTTTTCCTAATTTTTTGCAAAAAATATTTATTTCTTTCTTATCATGCTAAAAAATGTTTTTCTTATCCACATAAATTAAATACCTGCAACGAATTTTATTATTCACGAAAGAATTTAAATATTTATAAAAATAATTTAATTCTTGCGAAGAAATTTATGAAAAGTTTTAAATAATTCATTTTTTTCGACTAATTTTATGCAAATTCTAATTTAAATAATTGAATTCCTAACAAATTTTTATTAGGTATTCATGAAAAGAATTAAATTCTTACGAAGATTTTTACAACAAATCGTTAAATAATAAAATTCTGTTTGGAAATTTTATGAAAAAAGTAAATATTGAAAATCATTGAATTGTGAAAAGTTTTTTAAAACAATTAAATTTTACAAAGAATTCTATTAAACTTTTGAAGAATAATTAAATGTCTGAGTGACATTTTATTAAATTCTTTTAAAAATAATTGAATTTCCAAGAAGAAATTTATTACTTTTAAAAATAATTGAATTCTTGTGAAGAATATTGTTATTTATGAAAATAATTAAATTTTACAAAGAATTTTATTAAAATTTCTTAAAAATAATTGAATTTTCGGGAATAATTTTGATATTTATTAAGACATAATTGAATTCTTTCCAAGAATTATTTATTTATGTAAATAATTGAATTCTTAGGAAAAATTTTATTAAGATCTAAAAGAATAATTGTATTATTTCAAAAAAATTTACTTTAAATTGTATTTAAAATAATTGATTTCCTTCGAACAATTTTATTAAAATATTTGAAAATAATTGGATTCCTGTGAAAAAATCTAATATTTTTGGAAATAATTAAATTTTTCCAAAAAATTTTTAAAAAATCTTTTTTTAAATAATTTCTTTCGAGGAATTGAAATTCAATTTTTAAGAATAATTACATTTTTTGAGCAATTTCTGCAAAATTGTTTTAAAAATAATTGAAATCTTGCGATGAATTTTATTATTTAAGAAAATAATTGAATAGTTGCTAAGAATTTCATTATTTCTGAAAATATTTGAATTATTGCGAAAAATTTTAATAAAATGTTTAAAGAGAATTGATTTTTTGTGGAAAATTTTGTTATTTTTGAAAATAATTGAAATCTTTATTAGAATTTTATAAACATTGTTTTAAATAATTAATTTTTTCGAAATATAATAAATATTATGAAACTCTTATTTAAAATAATTGAATTCTTGTGGAAAACTTTATTTGTGAATTATTGAATTTTTGATTAATTAATTAAAAATAATTAAAATTCGTCGATGAGTTTTATTATTTATAAAATTAAAAATAATTGAATTTTTGCTCAGAATTCTATAAAAAAATTTAAATAATTGATTTCTTTCGAATAATTTTGTGCAAATTTTAATTTAAATAATTAAAGTTCTGAGAAATTTTTATTATTCATGAAAAGAATTGAATTCTTAGGAATATTTTTACAAACAATATTCGAATAATTGAATTCATTTTAGAAATTTTATGAAAATAGTAGATATTGAAAATCATTGAACTGCGAAAAGTTTTTAAAAATAATTAAATTTTACAAAGTAATTAATAAAATTTTTTACAATAATTGAATTCTTGCGAACGATTTTATTACAATTCTTTAAAATAATTGAATATCCAAGAAGAAAATTATTACTTTTTAAAATAATTGAATTCTTGTGATGAATATTGTTATTTATGAAAATAATTGAATTTTACAAAGAATTTATCATAAAAATGCCTCAAAATAATTGGATTTTTGGGAATAATTTTGCTATTTATCGACATAATTGAATTTGTTCCAAGAATTGTTTATGTAAATATTTTAATTCTTGTGAAGAATTTTATTAAAATCTAAAATAATAATTGAATTATATTATTTAAAAAAAATTTAATTAAAATTGTATTTAAAATAATATTGATTTCTTTCGAACAATTTTATTAAAATACTTGAATTCCTGTGAAAAATTTTAATATTTTTGTAAATAACTGAATTTTTCCAAAGAATTAAAAAAAAATTTTTTTTTAAATAATTGGATTTCCTCGTAGGGGAATAATATTTTGTTTCCGTTATAAACTCAAAATAATTGAAAATATCAAGTTTTTAGGGGGTTTTGATTCAACAAGTTTCGTGTCCACTGGAAGGGAACGAGGGGCAGTTATACAACTATTTAGATAATAATCTTCCATGTAAACACTTACATATTCTATATTGGCTTCATTTTCGTGATAAAGAATTTGAATATTCGTATCAGGTGGTTCCTTCCCGCTCTCTTCTCTTACTAACTCCGTGAGACGACTCCACCATAAATCTCGGGCTGCACTAGTCCTAAAGTACAAAAAATAAAATAGATCGAGGTGAATATTTAAATATTACATTGAAAATGTATTTAAAAAAATTAACTACCGTTTGTTAGTAATAATTATACCAGTATCTTACTGTAAGTTTACCTCAAGTACGAAGGAGATAGTGAAGTTCGTTTGTAAACTCAATGTAAGTTTATACTAATATAATGTGCTTTTTGTCGTAATCTTTGGAAATAAAAAAATTTATTAAGGAGTTATAACTAAACTTATAAATTTAAGCAGTAAATAATTAAAAGAAATTAAAAAATTTTATTCATTAAAAAACCTCGCGTGCACAAAATAGCCCGGTTGACGGTAATATTGTTCAGAAATATTATGCATACAACCTTTGAATGTTGTACAATTAATTTTAATAACAGATATAAAAAAACTACAAAAACGTGGCAACGCTGTATTTTCTAGTTTTTATTTAAAAAAAAGGTGACAAAATTGGAAAAAAGGGAACTATTTGTGATGCCTGAAAAAAGTAAAAAAAGCAAAATAATTTATTGATGAAAATGAAAGAGTTAAAAAAATTAAAAGAGAAATTAATGAAGTTAAGTTAAAAATATTTAATGAAAAGCAAAATTTACTGAATTCTGTTTAACTTATCAGATGATTTAAATTCTTTTTAGAGATAAAATATTTATTTTTGCAAATTTTGGTAAATAGCTTTACTTATAACTCAAAAATAGTTAATAGAATCGAATTCAGTAGCTCAATTTGATGTCCTAAAAGCTTAAGAATTATTCTCACAACGCATATACAAAACTTACATAATAAGTGAAGAATATTAATTAAAAATTGCGATATTTACATGAATGTAGCGACAACATTTGTGGTTGGCCAGCCAAGTACGAAACTTGTTTCCTGAGATTTATTTGTTTCGGCGACGTCATCTATATAGCCTGTTGTCAACCAGAGCTCGCTCATTTTAACAGATTGCTTTAACTTAAAGTTACCTCCACTACGTGCTTTGGCTATGAGTAGAACATCCGAGAAGAGAAAGAGATGTCTTTCTTGGGACTGCATTCCCTGTAATAAGATGCAAGTTATCAACAATTCTCGTAATTGTAGAAAAATAAAAGATTCAATAAATCTCTAATTCCTTCGTCATTGAAAACCTAGTTTCCGTAATTCATTAAAATCCCTCCTATTTTCAATACTTATTCATAAATCCTTTTCGCCTAGCTGCAGGTTACTTTCCAATCTTATTCATAACCGTTCCAACTTCCTCTCTTATTATCTCAATCTGTTCAACTATTCATTCAAATGCGAGTAGGGGAGAGTGACCGTCATGAAACCGGGTATTTTTTAAGGCTCTGGTATATTAATTAAATTTTATCTATTTTGATCACTTTCACGCATCAATATAAAACGTAGCAGAAGTGACAATTAAGGTTTACCGCTTTTTTATAATTTTCACACATCGCACCTACACAGTAAAAAGAAAATCTTATTTTAAGGCACGAAAGCTGCCTTAAATTAAGATGCAACATTTTTAAGACAGTCAATGTTGAATTTACGCACGATTTTCGTATCCTTTAACATTATAGCAGACAGTGTTGAATTTAAGGCAGCTCTTAAATTAAGATTTACTTTTTACTGTGTACTATTTCTGTTTTTTGAGAATTTCCACTACTTTAAATTAGCTAATACTAGAAATCGAAAAACTATTCTCAAAAATTATAATCAAATTCTTTAAAACGATTCAATTATTTTCAAAAAATATTCGAAATTCAATTATTTTCAATATTTAATATTTTCATATAAGATTTCGCAAAAAAATTCAATTATTTAAAAAACAATTGATAAAACTCATACAAAATTCAATTACACATTTTCATAAATAATAAAATTTCCACAGGAATTCAATTAATTTAGAATAGCATTTTCAAAAAAATTTCGAAAAAATCAATTCATTAACGAAATTTTTATACAATTCTTCACAATAATTCAAATTCTTTTACTAATAATAACATTTTGAATGGAAATTCAATTTAAAAAAAAAAATTTTTGATAAAATTCTAAGCAAGAATTCAATTATTTTCATAAGTAATAAAATTCATCGAAAAATTTCAATTATTTTTAATACTATTTTAAATTAATTAATCGAAAAATTCAATTATTTTCACAAATAAAGTTTTCCACAAGAATTCAATTATTTAAAATCACATTTTTATAATATTTATTATATTTCGCAAAAATTAATGATTTACAACAACATTTATAAAATTCTTATGAAAAAATTAATTATTTTCAAAAATAACCAAATTTTCCAGAGAAATTCAATTCTTTTTAAACATTTTAATCAAATTTTTCGCAATAATTCAATTATTTTCATCATGAATAATAAAATTCTTCTCAGGAATTCAATTATTTTTGAAAATTTTAATAAAATTCATCGCAGGATTTCAATTTTTTTTTAATACCTATAATTTTACAGGAATTGATCAAAAAATGTAATTATTCTTAAAAATTTAATTTCAATTCCTTGAAAAAATCAATTATTTAAAAAACTTTTTTTTTTAATTCTTTGAAAGAATTCAATTATTTACAAAAAATTAGAATTTTTCACAGTAATTCAATTATTTTCAAATATTTTAATTAAATTGTTCGAAATTCAATTATTCGTTTAGATTTTAATAAAATTCTTCTCAAGAATTCAATTATTATTTCTAAGTAAGAATTCAATTACTTTCATAAATATTATAAAACTCATCGGAGAAATTCAATTATTTTTAATTCAATTCTAAATTGATTAATCGAAAAATTCAATTATTTTCACAAATAAAGTTTTCCACAAGAATGTTATAAAGAATTCAATTATTTTCAAAAATAACAAAATTTTCCACAGAAATTCAATTCTTTTTAAACATTTTAATAAAATTTTCCTCAATAATTCAATTATTTTCATGAATAACAAAATTTTCCTCAGGAATTTAATTATTTTTAAAAATTATAATAAAATTCTTAGCAAATTCAATTATTTTCATAAATAATAAAATTCATCGTAGGATTTCTATTATTTTTACTACAATTTTAAGAAATTGATCAAAGAAATATAATTATTTTTAAAAATTTAATTTCAATTTCTTGAAAAAACAATTATTTAAAAAAATGTTTTTTTTAAATTCTTTGGCAGATTTCAATTATTTACAAAAATATTAGAATTTTTCACAGGAATTCAATTATTTTCAAATATTTTTATAAGATTGTTCTAAAGAAATCAATTATTTTAAATACAATTTTAATTAAATTTTTTGGAACTAATTCAATTATTCTTTTCGATTTTAATCAAATTTTTTTGAACTAATTCAATTATTCTTTTAGATTTTAATAAAATTCTTCCCAAGAATTCAATTATTTACATAAATAATTCTTCGAAAGAATTCAATTATATCGATAAATAACAAAATTATTCCCGAAAATTCAATTATTTTGAGGCATTTTAATAAAATTCTTTGTGAAATTCATTTATTTTCATAAATAACAATATTTAGCAAAAGAATTCAATAATTTTCAAAAATAACAAAATTTTACACAGAAATTGAATTCTTTTAAAACATTATAATAAAATTTTAAGCAAAAATTCAATTACTTTCATAAATAGTAAAACTCATCAAAGAATTTCAATTGCTTTTAATACTATTTTAAATTAATTAGTCGAAAAATTCAATTATTTTCACAACTAAAGTTTTCCACAAGAATTCAATTATTTTCAAAAATAACAAAATTTTTCACAGAAATTCAATTCTTTTTAAACATTTTAATCAAATTTTCGCAATAATTCCATTATTTTTATTAATAATAAAATTCTTCTCAGGAATTCAATTATTTTCAAATATAAAATATAAAATTGTTCAAAAGAAATCATTTATTCTAAATACGATTTTAATTACACTTTTTTAAAAAAAACTTCAATTATTCCTTTGATTTTAATAAAATTCTTCCCAAGAATTCAATTATTTACATAATGAATTCTTTGAAAGAATTCAATTATTAAAGATAAATAACAAAATTATTCCCGAAAATTCAATTATTTTTAAGAAATTTTATTAAAATTCTTTGTAAAATTCAATTATTGTCATAAATTTTAATTGAATTCTTTGTAAAATTAAATTATTTTTAAAAACTTTTCCTAATTCAATGATTCTCAATATCTACTATTTTCATAAAATTTCCAAACAAAATTGAATTATATAAAAATGTTTGAAAAAAACTTTGTAAAAATTCAATTCTTTTCATGAATAATAAAAATTTCTTAGGAATTCAATTATTTAAATTAGAATTTGCATAAAATTAGGCAAAAGAAATGAATTATTTAAACATTTTCATAAAATTCTTCACAAGAATTAAATTATTTTTATAAATATTTAAATTCTTTCATGAATAATAAAATTCGTCGCAAGAATTCAATTTATTAGCAGCATAAGAAAGAAGTAAATATTTTTGATGAAAATTAGGAAAAAGTCTGGAAAATAAAAAATGGAATTTTTTCTCGTCTAAAACGAGTTTTTTTGGTCGTCAAGTTTAATTTTTCGATAGTTACTTTTTTACCACTGTTCTTTAGATTGAAAGTTACTCTTTGCTACTTTTTTAAAATGAATCATCGAATGCGAAGTCTGAATTTGCCTTAATATAATTCTACAATGACTTAAAAAGGACTATCAAGTCTAAGTGCAAGTCCAATATCCCATTCACTAATGTGTCAACTTGGACTTGAACTATTCTTTTTGGCCTCATTGTAGAACCGGCTCTATTGGTCTCTAGAGCAGACAACTTTTGAGCCAGGCCTACCACTCTTATTATTGAAAGTACGTTTCACTCATTATTAAAACACACTTTTTTTTTTATTTTTTCAGTTGTTCTAGTGAGATTTTTTCATGTTTTTATTTTTTCAAAAATCTCAAAGTTTCATCTATAAATATTTTTTTACACTTCAAAAAAATTGAATTTAAAAAAATTCTTTTTTCTTTTTTCAGAGTGTACTGTCCCCTTAATAAATATTACGTTTAATTGAATTTAATATTAAGATTAAAATGAGTTGAAGAACGTTAGAAAATATTAATTAGCTTCGGGGAAATTGAAAAATTAAGAAAAACTTGCCAAATCAGTAAATATATTTTTAAAAAAAACTTGTCTTAATCTCTTTTATCAAGTTTCATTTTTTCTTAATCCTATGCCAAATGCAGTAAAAGAAAGACGACTCTGTATTTCATTTTTTCTCTGAATTCTCTGAAAAGCCCAAAATAATCTCTAGAAAATCTAATCTTTCTTTTGATACTGTTTGTGTTATACTTTTAAACTTCTGCAACTTCTGTTTATCTAAATAATATTTGAACGTATAATTCACTAAAGAATATATGGTAACTTACTGTGGTAAATTGTACTGGAGTTTCCAATAAAAACGTTCTGGTAGATCCAATATTTATTAAAGAATTATTGCTGTTGTTGAGTGATTTTTGTGAAAGTGCTCTTGTTAGTCTTCCAGTTTTTACGCCATTTCTCTTGCGAAGAATGCTCTTCATCTTCTAAAAGTACAAAGTCAATTATTGTATCATGCGTTTCCGTTTTGAAGACTATATCTAAAAGTAGAAACTAGAATCTAAAATTATATGTACAATTTTGAAAATTCTTATTGCATTTCAATAAATATTACCGTTGTTAAAACATCTCGTTCATGAAGTCGCAGATTATCTCCAGGAAACAATTCTTGAATGCGATGGAGGTCTCCTTCCAGTTGATTTCGTTGAAGGATGATTCCACTTTCAATTTGATTTTCGTCTTCTGTGAGATTTCTCGCCTCCTGCCTTAAATACCTTTCGTACTCTGCAAGTCTCTGGACCTTTAAAAAATTAAAAAGTTTTATAAATAATAGCATCAAAAAAATAGAAAAATATAGATAAAACAACTGAAATGAAACGTAAAAAAGATGAATATCTACTCATACGATTTGAAACATTTTATTAGGGCCCCAAGGTGGCCACGCGTTATTTCAACGATTGTAAATCCTAAACCGTATTATGTAATGTGATAATTAATATACGCCCTGAAATTTTATATCATTAGCTAACTTTGTAGCTACGAGATTTTTTTTTTACTCAGAAAAAAAAATTTAGGCCTTAGGGCTAGAACGACATTTTGTAAAAGTTGTCAAAAAATTTTGTAACACACATTATTATTATTTTATGAAAATAATTGAATTATTGCGAAGAAATTTATAAAAAGTTTGTAAATAAGAGAATTCCTGTAAAACTTTTATTAATTGTGAAAATAATTGAAATCTTGACAAGAATTTTATTTAAATCTTTGAAAATAATTGAATGTGGGAAAATAAATTTATTATTTATAAAAATAATTAAATTTTTGACAAGAATTTTTTTTTAAATTTTAAACATAATTGAATTTTTATGAAGAATTTTATTATTTCTGAAAATAATTGAATTTCTGCTATCATTTTCAACTTTCCGAAAAAAATCAATTATTTTAGTGTCTTTAACTAAAATTCACATTTACCTCAATTTCTATTAGAAAATTTTACGAGAATTCAATTATTTAAATAAAGGAATAAATAATTTATTAAATTCAATTAAAATTTATTGTATTAAAAATAATTGAAATTTTACGTTTAAGTTGTATTTATGAAAATAATTGAATTCCTAAAAAGAATTTTATTATTTATGAAAATAATTGAATTATTGCGATGAAATTTATAAAGAGAATTGATTTTCTAAAAAGAATTTTATTATTATTTTTAATAATTTGAATTTAATTTAAATATTTCTAATTAAATTCATTCATTTTACTCAATCTGCCAGGGAAGTCAACGACAGCTCTTATTTTGATAAAATGTTATCATATTAAAAATTAATTTAAAGTCAGATTCTGAAAACTTAAAATGGCGGATCCAATATGGCAGCCAAAAAAAAAAAAATTTATCGGATTTGCTTGAAACTTTTTAATAAAAAAAAATATCTATGTTTAAATTTAATTTTAGTTACTGTGATTTTTTTACAAAATCTAAAAATGAAAAATATTGTTTTGAAATAGAATAATATTAACTATTTATATTAAAATCTCTCGTCGTCAGTAGGTATGGAAAATTCCTCATGATAGCGGACGCACCTTTACTATAGAGAAAAAATCTTTACAGAGAAAGTAAGACGTTGGCCAACGAGTGAGCTCAGAAAGAGGTGTAACTGGAGGTAAATGGAGTGACAGAGATAGAAAAGAAAAAGCGAGACAAGGAAAGCCAGACAATCTGCACTCAAGGTCACCGACCGTCAGTAGCAGTAGCAGTAACAGTAGCAGAGTAGCAGTAACGCAAGCAACCACACCGACAACGAGCAGATTTTATTTTATTTTATTTTATATTCTTCTCTTCACCCTCTCTTTGTCACGTCGATCAGTCTTCTATTATTGACGTCACCTTTAATACACTAATAACTGAAACAATCAAACGCAACTGCCGGCTAATCCACTCTATAATTTCTTTTTACCTCAAGTTAAACTTTAGACCGCTACCAAGTCGAACCCTAAACCGTTCAAACTAAAAATTAATTCTACATAATATGCCAAAAATGTGCAAAAAAGTGATATTTTCGGATTGTATGTTTTTCGGATAGAAAGCGATTCTGTAGTGCAAAATTAAAAGTCGTTCATATAACACGTGGACAGTTTGGGGGGAGGGGGCATCAAAGCAAATGTCCACGTGGACCCAGTAAAAAATTCCATACAGGCTTCGCACTCATCTACTAAAACCTACTATTTACTACTTCTTTAACGTTATCCCACTATTTGAGTACTTTTTTTTAGATTTCAGCAACTAAAAGCTACTATTTATTTTTTTTTTTTTTAAGAATTTCCACTACTTTAAATTCGCTAATAATAGAAATCAAAAAACTATTCTCAAAAATTATAATTAAATTTTTTAAAATGCTTCAATTATTTTCAAAAAATATTCGAAATTTAATTATTTTCAATATCTAGTATTTTCATAAGATTTCGCAAAAGAATTCAATTATTTCAAAAAAATTAATAAAACTCATCCAAAATTCAATTATTTTCATAAATAGTAAAATTTCCACAAAAATCAATTAATTTAGAATAGCATTTTCAAAAAAATTTTCGAAAAAACCAATTATTTAACAAAATTTTTATATAATTCTTCATAATAATTCAAATAGGTACTTTCATTAATAATAACATTTTTTATGAAAATTCAATTTAAATAAAAAATTTTTGATAAAATTTTAAGCAAGGATTCAATTACTTTCATAAATAATATAAAACTCATCGAAGAATTTCAATTATTTTTTAATACTATTTTAAATTTATTAATCGAAAAATTCAATTATTTTCCCAAATAATGAAATTCTTCGCTGAAATTAAATTATTTTCAATATCTACTATTCTAATCAAATTTCACAAAAGAATTCCATTAAAAAGAATTAAATTTCTGTGAAAAATTTTCTTATTTTTGAAAATAATTAAATTCTTCATAAGAATTTTATAAACATTGTTTTAAATATGTAATTAATTTTTAAAATATAATAAATATTACCTATGAAAATTGTATTTTAAATAATTGAAATCTTGTGGAAAACTTTATTTGTGAAAATAATTGAATTTTTCGATTAATTAATTAAAAATAGAATTCAAAATAATTGGATTTCTTCGATCAGTTTTATTATTTATAAAAATAATTATTTTATTAAAATTTTATCAAAATTTTTTTTTTAAAAATTGAATTTTCATGAAAAATGTTATTATTAGTGAAGGTATTTGAATTATTGTAAAGAATTGTAAAAATTTGAATTAAAATTTTTCAAAAAAATTTATTTTCTTTTATATTTTTTAATTTTTCAAAAATTCAATCATTTCTAAAAGATTTTACAAAATTTTAATTATTTCAAAAATTTTTAATTGTTTAAAATTGAATCGTGAATTTTGAAAAGAGCTCAACTCTATAAACGATAGGTAAGTGTCATTTTTACATAACCATGACAGCGAGAATGACTCTTACGATTTTTAGAGTTGAGCCCCTTTCGAAATTCACGACTCAATTGAAAAACAATTATCTTTCAAAAATTATATAAAATTTTTTTTAAAAAATTAATTTTAAGAATTTCTTTATTATAATGTTTTGAAAATATTATAACTTACTAATAACTTTAAAAAAAGGACACTTGCAGTTGCAATTAGTATTATAAAAAATTGAATTTTTGTATTTGAATAATTGAATTTTCGAAGAACTTTCGGAAAATTAAAAAAAAAATAAATTTAAAGATTAATTAAAAATTAATTAAGGTAATTAAAAATTGTAGAAAATAATTGAATTTTGGAAGTGTTATATTATTGTTAAAAACTATTAAACTTTTCAAAAGGTTTAAAACTGAAATTCTTTTAATGGAAAAACAAATAAGAATATTATTTAAATATATTATTTAACAAAATTATTCAAGTTCCAAATAATTAAATTAAGAAATCAGTGAAAGGTCGGGGAAATAAAAAATAAAATTTTTGTAACAACACTGAATTAAATAAACGACATTTTCGACTCTTTTATTTTTAATGCACTATAAAGATACTTTTTTTGTGCCTTAAAGTCTATTACGAGGCCTGTATTATAAAACTAAAATGTTTTGAAATATCGTATAAATATATTTTTTATTGAATATCAATTTATTTACCATCATAAAATAAAAAACCTTCTTTATAGTTCTAAGTTCATATTCTACCAAAAATATTAATTTCTCACAGAAAAATATTTAACCATAATAATGTCCATTTCATCGAAAAGACTTTAATATTCATTTGATACAATTGCCAAAAGTTTCAATTTTTATTATTCGTCAAACCTCGAAATCCCAGAATTCTCAAAACATAAAAGTTTTTAATGGAGGGGTAAAAATTCATGAAATTTCCACGAAAAGTAAAAAGTATTCTTTTTTAATCGAAATGTTGAAAAAAACATTTTAATTTGGCCTTAGGAATGTGTCTACCAAACCAAAAAAAAAATGTGCGCAAAGCGAATTTCAATTTTTAACTAAAGAAATTCGTATTAATATACAATCTTTCAAGGTTTGGGAAATTTACTTAATTTTTCATTTGTGAGAAAATTAATTTCATATTATTTCATAATTTTAATATTTTCGGTTCACTTGGAGTTGTGTATTTGTTTTAATTAGTATTAGTTCTATTCTTTTGTTTACTTCGTATAAAAGAAGTACGGGGTCTGCATATGAAATGTCAAGTCAGTTTGTTAGGATTTGTTAAAAGAGTCGATCGTTGCAGAATGTTTGAAATAAAAAGTAATAAAGTCACGTAAAAACGTCCGTTGCTTGTGACGAATGTTTTTCGAGTTGTAGCACGTGATTTTAAATATTTATTAAAACTAAATTTGATCTCATTATGAACAGTGAAAATTTAACATAAAAGATCTATGTGTTTGTTTGTTTTAATTTAATAATAATCAGTATTTCTAGAATTTATAATGTTCGTAACACATTATATAAAATATTTTTATATTTATTTAAATTTTAAAATATTTTTTTTCACAATATTTTTGGAAGCCATAAAATTGTATAAATAAAAGATGTTTTGATTCTTCTGTTTGGCCTAATGGCTGTTAGGTCATTAGGCCACACAGAAGAATCAAAACATCTTTTATTTATTTTATATTAATGTTTTACTTTGAATTATTAAAAATTTGTATAACATAAGTAAAAAATGTTAAATTAATTATTATCATTAAAAATTAAGACAAAGACAGTTTTTTTTTAATTTTTACAAACTTTTAAAAAGACCATGACCATCTTCTTCGGACTTACAGCCTATTTTTGA